CCACATAGAACTGAAAGATTTCAAATTCAGCCCTCGGGTGTGCGTGGTTCTTGCGCTCGGCCCCTTGAGGGTTCCTGGCACGAAAATCGCTAACTTGGGAACCAGAAAAGCTAGGGGGCTGAAATTTTAAGAGGATGTTTCTAGTTCATTTACAGTTTAAAATAATCAAATTCAGTTCCCAAGCCTATGTAATTCCTACGTAGGGCCCCGCGAGAATTTTTGGCGGGAAAATGGCTACTTCGAGGACCAAGAAAGCTAAGGGGCCAAAATTTTTAAGGGGATGTTTCTCGCTCGTGCACAACTTAAAATTATTAAATTCAGCCATCAAGCATGCATGTTTCTCACGTTTGGCTCCGTGGGAATATTTGGAGTGAAGAATTGCTAACTCGGGAAAAAGAAAGCTGGGAGGCTGATATTTTAAAGGGATGTTCCTAGTCTGCGTACAACTTGAAGCTATCAAACTCAGCCCCTAGGCATGCGTGACTTTCACATACGGCCCCGTGGAATTTTTTGGCGGGAAAATTGCTAACTCGAGAACCAGAAAAGCTGGAAAGTTGAAGTCTTAGGAAGATATTCCTCGTCCAAATACAACTCAAAGGTTTCAAATTTTTGGCGGGAAAATTAGTGGTTGAACAGCCGGGTCATTTTGAAAAGGGACCACTAAACGATTGTTTACTTCCGTTAATACAAAATTTATGATGAATTAAGGTATTGAGCGCGCAAGACAAGTATGAAGAAACAACCATTCATGTAGTTAACCTAATAACTTTGTTTGATGCAAAAACGCATGATCGCACCTGCCCGCCTGATGCGTTCCAACCTGCGTTTCAATTTTGCATTGGTATAGCTCCGAAGTTTGAACCAGAGACCTTATTCAGAAGAACAGGAAGTGCATAGCTTATCTGTGGCATGTCCAAAGTCTAGATTCTTGACATCGTCTTTTTTTGTTACTCATAAGTCATGAAAAGAAAGGAACAAGTATATCCATTTCAATCATTTTTTGATTTGTAAGGAATGCATAAAAATTGTATGCAATAAAGTCTACTTTTCGAGACGATGAGGGACGAGTGAGTATTTCAGCAGAGATATTATCACTGGCTGAATTATCGCTTTCGGTATTCGTGTCCGAAGCTGATAAAAGAAGCAGACGACATTCTGTAAAATGAAACGATTTTGAAAAGTGTTTGCGTTTTTATTATTAAAAATCGATGATGAAATACATATTTCAGCCCTAGAGTCTCGATGATTTGACTTTTCCAGGAATAAGTGGATGCGATTTCTTAATGCGCAGGGACAAAAGCTGCTTTTTTTAGGATTTTTCCTCCAGAGTTTGCCAGCTGTTTCTCCTTCTCTCTATTTTAACATAAACTGCCTCTAAAGAAATCCTGAAAGCCTAGTAACTACGTTACAGGAAGTTTTTTCTATTACAATAAATAATTTTACCGAGCAATTTGAATCTGTGTCCAAATAAACGACAGTGAATTCGCATGAGACGAGGCACTTCTGGCATCCTGTTCGCTCGCTTACCCTTAGTAAGGACTGGTTTGCGTTATAAGGAAGATTACTGCGGAAGAATGGAAGGGGAGGAAGACATTTCAGGAAAATGCATAAATGCTCTGGATGAGTTGGCCTTGTCCATCACTGTCGTGTGCTAACTGCGCACTTCATGTACAGGTAGTGAAAAAAATCTTGGCAAAAATGTCAGAAGCTTTTTAAAACGCAATTCAAAAGCCCGATCCTGGCACGTGGCTAGGATGCGCTGTGACAACTATTGGTAGTTGATGGGCGACAAGGATGCATCATACACAGCAAGCCAAAATGTCCACACGGCGGAAATCACTGCGCTACTAATCATCAGCAGTAGTTGTACTGTTGTAACAATTAGCTGTGGGCATTTGTGCTAGGGCTCCTGTTAAAAATCTTGCAGTAACTTTTTTAACAAAACTATCGATGATTACGAATGTAGTTGATCAACTAAAATTCATGGTCTGGCTCCTCATTTGCACAGCTCGAAAATTTTTCGGTTGCTTTTTTTCAGTTTCAGTTTTTTTTCAGCTTCTTCAGTTTCAGTGTTGCGTCGCCTAATGGTCAGCCTGCTGGCGATTTGATGTTCGTTTCGCCCCCTGAAGATATTACCAGCTCAACTGTTCTCCCTACAAA